AACCATTTTCAAGTACAAAGCAGTGGCATTAATCACACTCACAGTGTTGTGCAACCATCACCATTATTTATTTCCAAAACTTTTCATCACCTCCCAACACAAACTCTACACTCATTATGCAATAACTTCCCATTCCCCACTCCTCTCAGCCCATGATAACCACTAATCTACTTTTGGGATCCACTTTCTGTCTCCATGTATTTGTCTATTCTAGATATTTCATGTAAATGGGATCATATAATATTTGTCTTCCTGTGCTGGCTTATTTCCTGTGGCATAATGTTTTCAAGGTTCGTTCGTGCTGTAGCGTGTATTAGAATGTTATATGTTTTTATGGCATAATAATATTCCGTTGTATGTATATACCACATTTTGTTCATTCATCTGTTGGACACTTGGGTTGTTTCTACCTTTTGGCTATTGTAAATAATGCTTCTATGAACTTGGTGTACAAGTATCTATTTGAGTCACCGCTTTCAGTTCTTTTGTGTATATATCCATGTCTTAGTCATCTAGTGCTGCTCTAACAGAAATACCACAAGTGGATGGCTTTAACAAAGAGAAATTTATTTCCTCACAGTTAAAGTAGGCTAAAAGTCCAAATTCAGGGCATCAGCTCCAGGGGAAGGCTTTTTCTCTCTGTCGGCCTTCTTCTCTTCCGTGTTCCCCCGGACTAGGAGCTTCTCGGTGCAGGGACCCCGGTCCAAAGGACGCACTCTGCTCCCAGCACTGCTTTCTTGATGGTAAGAGGTCCCCAGTTCTCTGATTGCTTCCCTTTCCTTTTATCTCTTACAAAAGATAAAAGGTGGTGCAGACCACACCCCAGGGAAACTCCCTTTACATTGGATCAGGGATGTGACCTGAGTAAGAGTGTTGTTACAATTCCACTCTAATCCTGTTTAACATAAAATTACAATCACTAAATGGAGGACAACCACACAATTCTGGGAATCATGGCCTAGCCAAATTGTTACACACGTTTTTTGGGGGACACAGTTCAATCCATGACAATCCAGGAGTGGAATTCTGCGTATGGTAATTCTATGTTTTCTTCACTTTTAAAGCCCCCTTACCCAATATCTAGTCTTTAGTACACATTGCAGGTACCTCTTCTCAGAGGTGTGCTGGTAAATGTTTAACAACTGGTACTGCAGAGGTGAAGGAGAAGCCTGGCTTTGTATCATTTTTTGATTTCCATGTTGTAAATACTTCCACCATGGCCAGTTTCAAGCTACCAATGCGAGGTCACTGAATGCAGAATTGAGAAGAGATGGGCAAAGTGTTTCCAACATACAGATACAATAGACAACCTCAAGAGCCCAAAGACAATGAGGAAGTAATGAGTTCTGAGTATTTATTACCATTGTTTTTCATATAACTTATTTAATTATAACTTCATACAATTCAGTTTTTAGAAATGGCTGTGTTTAACAGTTGGCTTGCAAAATTCCTAAAAATTGGTTCTCTCAAGCTGATTGGAGCTGACTCAGCCAGCTCCAGCACACCTCTGCCATTTCATGTCATTCCAAGTAAAGAAAAATTAAAAATTAAAAATTTAAATTATTAGCGTGAATTATTAGCATAATCTTTATATTGTGCAATGCTAGTTGTTTTTTTTTTTAATTTTTTCCCCATACAAAAATTTATACATACATTGTTATGTGACCCTAATTGCTCTCCCCATGCTGTGACAGCACACTCCTCCTTTCCACCCCTGATTCCCCATGTCCATTCGACCAGCACCTAACCCTCTCTGCCTTCCCATCTCACATCTGGACAGAAGTTGCCCATTTAGTCTCCTGTATCTACTTGAGCTAAGAGGCACACTCCTCATGAGTATCACTTTATGTCCCACAGTCTAGCCCAATCCCTGTCTGAAGTTGGCCTTGGAAATTGTTTTAGTTCTGGGCTGATAGAGAATCCAGGGGCCATGCTTTCCAGGGTACCTCCAGTCTCAGTCAGACCATTAAGTCTGGTCTTCTTACTAGAATTTGAGTTCTGCACCCCACCTTTCTCCTGCTCTATCCAGGACTCTCTGTTGTGTTCCCTGTGAGGGCAGTCATTGGTAGTAGCCAGGCACCATCTAGTTCTTCTGGTCTCAGGCTGATGAAGTCTCTGGTTTATGTGGCCCTTTCTGTCTCTTGGGCTAATACTTTCCTTGTGTCTTTGGTGTTCTTCATTCTCCCTTACTCCAGATGGTTGGGACCAATCGATGCATCTTAGATGGCCGCTTGCAAGCTTTTAAGACCCCAGACACCACTCACCAAAGTAGGATGCAGAACATTTTCTTAATAAGCTTTGTTATGCCAATTGACCTAGATGTCCCCTGAAAGCATGGTCCCCAGACCCCCACCCCTGCTACTCTGTCCCTCAAAGTATTTGAAGCAATGCCAGTTTTAAATGCAAATATGTTGTTGTTATTAGTTGCAATCAAGTTGATTCTCACTTATGGCAACCCCATGTATGCAGAGTAGAAATGCTGTGACCTTTCAGAAACAGATTGCCAGACCTGTCTGAGTTGTCTCTGGGTGGGTTTGACCCACCAACCTTTCAGCTAGTAGTCCAGTGCTTAACTGTTTAAGAACATTTAACTCGTGTGAGTTAATGCACATGTCTCCTCTGATTATGTGCGTGCTCCATTGTCCCCATCAGATTTCACTTACAAAATACAAATTCAAAGATAAAATTATTAAGGATTTCAATATAGCAGGGCATTAAAGCAAGTATGGAGCCCTTCTGAGTGTGGAACCTTGTGTTACTGCCCAGTTCACACGTCCTGTGTACAGTTCTGGGGAAATTACTTACATTTGCCATGCCTCAGGGTCCTCATCGGTATAATAGGGATAATGCCTAAGTTATTTCAGTTATCTAAGTCACAGAGGAGCTGTGGGGATTGAAGGCACTCATACCTGTATGGCATAGAACATAGTGCTTGACACACAGTCTATGCTCAGTTATTTGGAGGAATTAGTATTAATACAATAATCATGTTAATGGCACTTGATTTATAGTCCTTAAGGTCTACCTTGTATTGCCAATATTTGCTTCTTTGACTTATTTTCCTTTCTACATTTTAATCTCTTTGAAGGCAGAGATTAGATCTTAGTCACCATGGAATTCCCTACAGTACTTCCCCAAAATTCTTACACATACCTGGCACTCAGTAGGTGTTTATAACCTTGATCTTTGCATGATTCAGACTTCTTGACAATAAACATCTGTGTCATAATATGATGGCCTTCACAATGAGGCTTAATTGGTAACATTCACAGGAAGAGAAAGAGTATAAACTAAGACTTTAACAGGAGTCAATTGTAATCATGGTAAGGGTAGGGGAAGTAGATGATTCCAGGTGTTTTGGTTTAAGGAATGTGGCTTCTCTTTGTCTCTTTGTGGGGACCGCTTTAAGAAATGGGGAAGGAATGAGTTCCAAGCCTCATTTTAGTAGAAGAGGCCCTAGGGATATTAACTCTGGCCCGTAGTAATCCGTGCCTTTGCTAACTTCTTTCACACTTACTTTCTGTTCTGCACAATTAGGATGTTATTATAGTAATGCTTTTTCCACTAATTGATTGTATATGTATGTTTTCTGTCCAACAGATTATAAGATCCTTGTGAGCTATGAGATATTATGTACTTCTTTTGAACTCAAACAGAAGGTAGCACAGTACTAGGCACATAGTAAGCAATACATTTTATTGTAATTCTGGTCTTGGTCCAAACTTCCATGGCTCCATGGAGATCTGGATGTGAATTGTGATTGTCTTTTATAGCTCCTGCAAGACCTCAACCAAGTGGCAGAGAAGCCTGGTCTGCCCCAGCATTTTTAAGGAGAGGCACTTCAGTTGTTTTTTGTTTCCCTAACCTACATCATTTTTCCAGTGTCTCCCACTCTGAGGAGTGTCCCCCTACTAACTTTCTCCCCGCATGGAATTTGGAACACCACATATCTGTAGACACTGCTCATTTAAATGATGATCTTTTAAAAGCCCTTTGGGCTAGTGTCAGTAAGCCATGATATATCACCAAATGGACCATCTGCACGAGACTTCTGAAGCTCATCTGAGCTGTAGTCCCTCAAGCTGGCGGGAACTTGTAGAAAGGAGCTCACGTTGCCCTGGCTTTTGCTATTCTGGTTCTGCGCACTGTCAGACGCCTTGAGCCTCTGGGGCAGCCAGTTCATTACTTTTAATGAGCACAAACTTCACCAAGACATTAAAATAAAATAAAACACCAATGGGCAGTCTTGGATGTTACTTCCAATTGTTTGAGTTCTTTTTCCACAGGATTATTCAAAATGATGGGGGAAAAAAAAAAAAAAGCCAGTCTTAACTCCTGCCAATTTTATCCTAAGTAGATTTGGCATTATAAAGCTAACACACCCTAAACTTTTTTTCTTTCAGGTCCCTGTGGACTAGTGCTTGACATTTGTGTTAAAAATGACATTATTCAACTGATTATATGTTTGAACATTATCTACCTTTTGGATATAATAAAGAAATAGTGAATATCGCAATATCATGTAACATATAAAGAGTAATATCCAGGGAAGACAGTTATTTTCTGAAAAGGGTAAAGTTATTATTTTAAACTACAAGGCAAATGCAGTTACTTTGATAAGAATTTTTTAATTGATAGAGCTCTGCAGCATAGACTGTAAGAACTTTATTAAGGGTTACTTATATTACCATACTTTGTAGAAGGTCAGTAAGTGGTGAAGCAGACACTGAACAATGTCCCCACTAAGCTGATTCGTGGATATTTTCATCTCCTGGCCATATGGATTTGGAATTACTTTGGGCAGTTTTTTTGTTTTTTTTTAAAAAAGAAGGAAGTGAGCAGATGAATGATAACTCTTTTATTACTCGACATAGCTTGTGTTTGTGGAAGACAAAGTTCATCAAGTTGTTTTAAAGAAAAACTAGAGTGTGCCAAACATAATTTGTTGAGGGCTCAAGAATTGTGAAATTGTTCCTAAATGAAGTTTGTAATTTCTGCAGGTAATAGCTCTAGCAGATGCAGTAGAGGAAAACCAGGACAATCTGTTCCAGTCATTCACCAGACTGAAAAGTGCCACCCATTTGGTGATTCTGCTGATTGGCCTGTGGCAGAAGCTTAGTGCTGACCAAGTTGCTATTCTGGAAGCGGCATTTCTGCCACTGCAGCAGGACACTCAAGAATTGGTAAGGACCCACAAACCTTAAGTGGTAACAGCCAGCATTATTTAAAGGATTTTGGTTTTATGAAGATATCATATGGCTATCATGTTTTGTAAGGTACTGAATGAAGGCTTGGTTTTTTACAAAAATGCTGTTCTCCTTTTCTTTAAACCATAAAAAAAAATGTCAAATTAAGGCCTTTTTTCTAGAGCTATTTTAAAAATACGCACATAGTCCATTTTTTATGTGGTATCCAGTGTATTTTTTTATGTGCTCTTCAATCACTTAGAAGCCAGGGAAATAGTCATTTGATGGTCTGAGTGATGGCAGTAAACCTTCAGATTAGCTAATCCTTTCCTTTTCCACCGGAGAAAACAGTTTGCCCATTTTTATTTGCTCAATATTCTTAAATTTAATGTCACCTCAAGGGTTAGAGAGAACTGAGATAGCCTTGCTAAATAACAGTGATATTCCTTTACATTTATATGGTTCTTTGTATATAAACTCTTTTGCCCTCAATCCTGGGATAAGCAGTTTAGAATGAAAAGGTGAAAAATGAAGGTAGTATTTGGAGTGTTCAGTAAAGGATTATTGAGACCAACATTTCGGGTCCCTTGAATTCTAGATGTCTGTATGAGACTGCTAGGTACTGTTTGGGGGGATTTTTTGCATACTTTTATTTACAAAGAAAAAAATATACGTCTTGAGAATTAAAGATCCTTGAACTTATTTTTTCTACTGGGGGAGGCCTAAAAAATCATTTCAGATCCACTTGTAAACCTAGATATGAGAACATGGTACTAAAAATGATAGTGCTTAAGCTAACGCTTTTGGAGTGCTTACTATGTACCAGGTGCTGTTTTGTTTCACAGGATTGTTTCATTTAATCTTACGTATCTCCCTATAGTGTAGTTAAGGTACTGTTCTCATCCCCAGTTGCGTGTGGGAAAATTTAGGCTTTGAGAGTTAAGTTGTTGTGGTTGTTGGCTGCTGTCAAGTTAGCTCTGTCTCATGGCGATCTTATGTATAACAGAACTAAATGTTGCTGGTCCTGCGCCGTCTTCATGATCATCGGTATGTTTGCGTTCATTGTTGTAGCTATTGTGTCTGAAACTCTTAAAACCCGTAAGCAGTAGAGCCAGGATTTAGACCCAGGTTTGTCTGCCTCCAAAGCACATGTTTTTAACTACTACATTGTATTTTAGTGAACAAAATCATGAACATAATTTTGAAAAAAAATCACAAACTTTGTCAGCTGAATCTAATTTTCTAGAGTTGGATCAAAGGATTGGCAGATAATTTTTTAAAAGCCAAACTGTATTTTATTTCATAAACAAAATATCAATAAATAATTAGAAAAAATAGAATACACATTTTCGTTTTTTAGTGGCAAATGATACATTAAAAGGAGATTGGTAAAATAAAATTACAACTAAAATTGACCTTTGAGAAGCTAGGAATGTAGACAGTTAACTGTGATAATAGAAATAAAGAATGAGAATGAGAGCTTTCACTTATGAACTCAGATTTGTTAATCAGAAGACTTGGTTGGATTCAGTTGGTTGTTCATCAATTAATGGCAAAGTCACTCTGATCAAGTTTCTTAATTGTTCTAAATCTCTCCTTCCTTAGCTGTAACCAGTTGCTGTTGAGTTGATTTTGACTCATGGTGACCCCGTTTGTGTCAGAGTAGAACTGTGCTCCATAGAGTTTTTAATGACTGATTTTTCAGAAGTAGATTGCCAGGCCTTTCTTCTGAGGTGCCTCTGGTAGACTTGAACCTCCAACCTTTCAGTTAGCAGCTGAGTGCACTACCCATGGACTCCCCTAAGCTTTAAGATGGAGATAATAATAGAACCTACGCAATAAATTGTAATAAGAATTGACTGAGATAATTGAGTAAGAGTGCTGAAGGTTAGCAATGAATATTGATAGTGGTTTGTACATTTATGTATTGTATATATGTTGTTGTGTGCCTGTTGTTGTATGGAGTCCAACTCATAGTGACCCTATATGACAGAATAGAGCTGCCCCATACAGTTTCCTAGGCTGTAATCTTTATGGGAGCAGATTGCCAGGTCTTTTCTCCTGCGGAATCCCTGGGTGAGTTCGAAAACTACCAACCTTTCAGTTGGCAGCAGAGCTCTTAACTGTTGTACCACCAAGGTTTCTTATTGTATTTATAAACCAAAAAACCCAAACTTGTTGCAATTAAGCTGATTCCTACTCTTAGCAACCCTATAGGACAAAGTAAAACTGCCCCATAGGGTTTCCAAGGAGTGACTGGTGGTTTTAAACCACCGACCTTTTGGTTAGCAGCCGAACTCTTAACCACTGCACCACCAGGGCTCCACTGTATTTATAGTCCTCACTAAAGTCTTATAAAGTAGGTGTTATTACGTTTTCATGGTTATTTATCTATTTCCCTGACTATACTTAAGGGCAGGGACTATATCTTATTTGTTTTTGTATCCTCAGTGCTTGGCACAATGCCTGACTATAGCACAGTCAAAATTTGTTGGGTGAACGAATGGAGAAAAGGGTGAAGGCTAACAAGTGGTGACTTAGCAGAATAGATGCCGTTGGATGTACTGTATTTTTTGCAAAGAATGTGTGCTTTATAAGTTTTTGCCAACGCCCCTCCTTCGTGTTATTTTCGTAAACATGCTATGCCAATTTTTTCTTACATGTTGCTGACTTCAATTGACACTAAGAAGACATAATTAAACTATGAAATAAGCAGACCTAACATAATCTAATGGTTTCACTTAAGACAATCTGGTAAGATTTTAGCATTAAACTGTTGAGCCTAATGCACGGTAATTATCAATTTAAATTAATAGAAGCAAACGCATAGTTTTGATTGCTTATTTTCTGATTACTGGGGGACTAGCAAACTTGATGATGACTTCTTGACCATGGCTTATACCTTTATGTTACAATTAGGGTCAAAAGTAACATTTCAAGTCTATTTTTATATGCATAAACAGGAGATTAAAGAACACAGAATGAAGGAAAATGAACAGAATATGATTTACCTGTAATATGGGAGAACGGGTAAATGAGGCCGAAATTCACTTCTGGAAATGTCATGAGACATGCATGGTATATGCCTGAGCAAGCTATGCCAGAACTATTTTACTTAATTTCATCATTTTCATGCGTTATATGTGGGAGTGCATTATTTGCAAAAAAATACAGTAATCTGTAGTATGAGGAAGCAGGGTAGAGCTAGCTGCATAATTTGCAGGACTGAGTGTAAAATGAAAATGCAGGACCCCCTTGTACAAAAAGCAGGGAAAAAGAGCTGTTAAAAAAGATACTAAAATCTAAAGCTTTTTTCTTTGTGGTCTCTCTCTTGACTTGTGGTGTTTCTTATTTGCTATTTATTTAATATTGTTCTAAGTAAAGATAAATATAAAAAAATAAATTATTAGCATGAATTTTACCATCAATCTTTATTAATATTGTGCAATGCCCTATTAATATTGTACAATGCCAGTTTTAAATGTAAACACAAGAGCATTTAACTCATACGTGGAGTCACCAAAATGACATAATTTGTATTTCCTAACTTGTACATGCATATGCATAATGCCTTACCAGAGCTGTGGGAATGGCTGCACAAAACTTAATTGCTTTTATTTCGCTTCTTGGTATGTATGTGCATTCTACTAACACTCTCCACCTTTGGCTTGCTGATGAGTAAGGCAGACTGAAAGGAAAAGGGACTACGGGTTGCTCTACTTTTCCTTTCCTTCCATGTCATCATTTTCAGTATAAGTGGTTGGCTGATACAGAGAAGTAACAGGAATTGAAAAGGATATGCTAGGCTCCCTTAGTCAGTTCCTTTCTTTGATCTATTATCTTCTTTCTGGGTTCGAAGCAAGTTCTGGTTCTGATGGAAAGCCTTCCAGGGCTGTCCGTACCCCTGTCTACTCAGTGGTAGATGTAACATGCTTCCTCGTACTTGCTTTGAGTCTCACTGAACTCCCACTCAACATGGGGCCACTGGAATTCTGAGCTCACAGGGCTATAGTAAATGGTGCAGTAAGGAACAGAGGACATGCATATTTTGCATTTCTCCTCACACACGTGTTCCATTGTCCCAGCAAACTTCACATACAAAACACAGGTTCAAAGATTAAATTACTAAGAATTTCAAGATGGTGACAACAAAGCCTTAAACCAAGCACAGGGTCCTGTGTGACTACACAGCTCTCATGCTTGTGAAGCTGGCTCCGAAGCCAGCTTTCTTCAAAGGAAGAATATCCTGCAAATAAAGATTCTTTGATGTAGGAATTGGAGCCCTGGTGGTGCAGTGGTTAAGAGCTCAGCTGCTGACCAAAAATTGGCAGTTGGAATCCACCAGGTGCTCCTTGGAAACCCTATGGGGCAGTTCTACTCTGCCCTATAGGGTCGCTATGAGTAGGAATCGACTCAATGGCAATGGATTTGTTTTTTTTAGAAGTAGTAATTATTTCCCAAGAGAGATCATGGTATTCCCTACTCTAGAAATCTTTAAAAACAGCCTTATTTGGCTGGGAATATATAAATATCTTCCTCCCTGTAGGCAGGTGAATGGACTTCGTATCTTCTCAGAGCCCTTTTCTACCCGGCCTCTGTATTCTGTGCTGTCATATCTCCCAAAACATGTAGGGGGAAATTCTTTCAATTCTCTTTTGAATTTTGGGAAATTAGAAGGTGTGTACACTTGGTATGTCTATTGCACTCATGAATGAGACAAGACATTTGATAAAAATATAACTTGGAGAAGAACGAATCAAAAAAGACATTTTAATACTGCTTGTTGTGCTCTTCGTCTCTAATTAGGTTGTAGTATTCACTTTGGACTTATACTGTTGAGACAGCTTATATGTTTTAAGAAAAAAGGAATCCTTTTTCATTCTTTCAGACATATGCATAGAGTATGTGGTTTTGACATGCTAGTTCACAATCCCCCACATTATGCCTTTAGACCTCACAAATAAATGTTATGTGATGGGTATCCCACTGAGATGTGA